CACCAATCTCAGCTGAGCAGAAGATTATACTACTTCTACACGGTCTGCCCCGGCCTCTGTGGTGGAGCAGCTAGACACAATCACATCGCATGCAGACGAACTGGTCTCCATTCCCGTTTCAGGAGAATGTTTCATCGAGTATTTCAGCCATTCTGCTGGGTCATTGTATCTCTCTCTGCCTGAGTTGGCCCTGACAGGCAGGGTGGAAGCCCGCCTCCTAAGTGATCTATATTGGCTCAACGAGGGTGTAAATTGAGAAAAGCCCGCTCAGAGTTCAAATGAGAAGTGACAGACACATTCTCACAAAGGGCATCTTCTCACCTCAAACATGACACACACACATTGACACAAAGTGAATCGTCTCACCTCAAACATGACACACACACACATTGACACAAAGGGGATCCTCTCACCTCAAACGTGCTTGTAACCCCCAGCTCATAGAAGAAAGGGATGAAGATGTGGGCGGCGAAGAACATGGCTATGATGAAGGCCAGACACAGATACCAGAACATGGTGTGGTAGTTGTAGATCTCCGCCGGGTTGCCCAGCAAGGTCAAAGCCGACATGAAGGTGACCATCAAGGAGAAGGCCACTGGAAACACGCTCATATTCCGCCCGCCCAGGAGGAACTCTTTCGTGGTGTTCCGCTTCCGGTCCAAGACGGCGAAGACAACGCCTATGCCGGCGGATATGACGAGGGTGAGGGAGAACAGGACATAGTCCACGGTGCCGAACCTCTTCACCACACCCGTGTTGATGCTGTAGTCCTCCGCCATGGTTTGTCACGTGGTCACGTCACGTGGGATGGAGTGTTTTATCACGTGGTCACGTCACGTGGGATGGAGTGTTTTATCACGTGGTCACGTCACAAAGAGGATGGTTATTTATCACGTCACGAGATGATTGGTTGTTTATCACGTAGTCACATCACCAAGAAGGTAACAGTTTATCACGTGGTTTGCTGAGCACTGTCTACGTACTTGAATCCTGCTTCTGTCCTGGTTGGAAGGAAATAGATAAGGAGAAGAATTATTTTGATAGTAATAATATTAATAATATATAACAATAATTAATAATAATGATGATGATGAGATCAAATAGGAAGAAATGAGCAGTACCAGCGAGCCAAAGCCCAGCCGCAGGCAAACTGTCCCAACAGTTACAACAGATTCTGCACAACATGTTCCCATCATAAGCCCCAGTGGAGCCCAGACTTAAGTTTGCTCAGTTTTTAGGCTGAGGCCATTGGCCAACACAACATGGCATAAAACACGTATTTGTTCCATAAAGTTTCCATAATGAGACAGTACAGGTTGTGCACATATCTCTATTATGGGTCAAACGTTGTACATTTCTATCTGTGGCCCAGTCAGGCTGAGAGGGACATTAACTATTTATTTTAATTGTCCAAACTGTGACCCCTCAAGAAAGAAGTGAAATTCACCTTCAATTTCCTGAGAGTTCCACCTCTCACATAAGAGTGAATTCGTTAATTTCCACCAATAGACATTGTTATTTAATGGAAGACTATGAGTTTTTAACAAAGCTATGACTCTTCTTTTCCAATACCGCGGGAGGTCGGTGATATATCCAGCTGTTTCTTAAAACGGAATTGTAAGAGAGAATAAAATTATTCTTGCGACAGACTTCTTCCTCTATGTTCTGCACAGAATGATCAACACGTCTATTTTTCCTTCAATGAATAATGATCTAGATCTAGTACTTCCAACACTTTGAGAAAACCACGCATATTCAAGAACCAGGGAAAATAATAGATAGGTTTTTAACTTCGGTAGCCCAGTTGACTCTGCCCAGTTCACAGGAACGATCTACAGGGTGATAACAAAAAACTGTACAACTTTTAAAAAAAATATTTTCCTCTACATTAAAGTTTTGCGTTTCAAATTTGGACACAACATTTGGAAATCAAACGGAATTTGTCTGATATTCATTTTAGATAAATCCACGGAATAGTTTTGTTCTACATGGCACGTAAAAAACAGTCCATTTTCAGTTATGTCCCCGTTTTTGTAAGATGACGCACTAGTTCGCCTTCGTCCTACAACAACACAAATCCCAACGGTCGCGCCATGTTGCCTACTACAGTCGTCTAACAGCCAAGCAGAAGTTTGCAGATAGTTTTTCTCAAGTTTCCTTTGCCTGTTGAGATCACGGTTAAGATTAATTGATAAAGGTCAGAGAGCTTTTTGTATTGAACATTTCCTCACCACCAACTCATGTCGTAAGTTTCGCCAAAGGCACAGAAATAATGTTAAAGTGCCCTTAAGGCCTCCTTTGATGCCAAGGGTGAAAATGGTCTATCAGTTAGGACCTGTAGAGAATCAGAACTAAAAATTCCCGAACACAACGGCTATTTTAGGTCAAACACACATCGTTCGCTCCCTTTAAACGTCACCAGGGTGCAGCATTCAGTAGATGAGCCCCATCAGACGTCTGTCCGTAGACGATGTCTGCAGCTAGGACTTTCCTACATCTCAACGGTCCACATTCTCAAGGCATATCTTCATCTACGACTGCACCATTTTCCTGTTCGTGAAGGTATCAGAGGAAAACAATGTGTTCATGATTCCTCGATCGTCTTGAAAAGCGTGAACGTTTCCTCTATGACATTTGGTTCCTTGGCAAAGCCCATATTCACCTTTCAGGTTATATCAACTCCACAAATGCTGTCTATTTGGGCAACCTCACCCCCCCCCCCCCTCTCCCTATTGTCTCTAGAAACAGCTCCATACTGTAAGGTGTACAGTGTGTGTGGCTTTGACCACTGGGGTCATGGTTGAGTGGATCCTTGTGTTTGGCCACCCCTGAACATGACGAACGACGCGTTCAATGTGTCGAGTCCGAAGGAGGACATATAGACCATTGCTTCTCGAAATTCCAGAACTTGAAAATATATTTTTTAACTCCGTAGGAGAAAGAAATTTTGTTTAAAGTTTACAGGGATGGAAAGATCAGATTTTATAAATAAAAGGAAAGGAAATAACAGACCAATCGTTTTAAGACTTTCCTTACAAGATCTTTTAAATTGTAGCATTTAGCATTTATAGGTGGTTTTTATAACAAACATTTTCCGTTTTTCAGGATAAGTTTCTTCTTGGTGAATTTTATGTCAAACAAATTCCTTTTGAATGAATTATTTCTGTTCTAGTACAAATTTTGTGCGAGATATTCTGCAAAAAGTTGTACAGTTTTTTCTTCGATCCCCTGTAGTTGCATGTAACATTTCTTTTGGACATCTGCCAGTTTCTAAGTGTATAACTCTGCCCCAGAATTTAGTGGCACAAAACATGTAATCAGAACATAAATTGGTTCTTTCACTTAGCTCAGAACTAAACACTTGGATGTGGCTTTTCCAAGACCCAGAAAGGCTTTCCAGAATTTTCCCTGAACATTGTCAATCCCGTCCCAAGTTTTAGTACCCTAAATTTCAGAGCCATAAAGCAGAATTGGTTTAATCTTTATATAAGATAGATCTACGTGTTTGGCAGTTTCTAAATGTGATTCTTGGTAAGAACCGAAAAGCCATTTTGTTCTTCAAACAATCTACCATCTGCGTTTGTCGTGGCCGCGATTTTTGGGGCCTTTTTCAGGGGGGAAAAAGCTACTTTATAACCTATTACTTATTAGACAAGTTTTGTGATAATTCTAAGGTTTCCATGTACAGTTATTTTTATGCAAAGAACATAATTACTTTACATACTATTTATGTTGCTGTTTGTCTTTTATTTTCCCGATCTTTGATGTGCTTTTTACTTTGTTGGTGTGTAAATGTTTTAAAATTGTTCTGATGTGTTGTTTTTCTATTTGTGTGTGTTTATACAGCGTAATGTAATGTAATTTGATGTGTTATGTCCGAGCGTGTCTCCACCAAAACCGAACACTGGCAGGCCCCTTGTGTGTGGTTCCAAAATTTACATGTAATATTCTGTACTTTTCCTTGAATTACACTCGTTTAGGGTTAAAACGCCAATCTTCGGATAGGTGGACACGCGCCCTTATTTGTTAATTGTTGTGGTTGTAGACTCTAGATCTATATGTGCTATTCTCATTTTGATTTCATTCTGTTGTGAAACCTCTATTTTTCACGTTTTTACGCTCTGTGTGGCTACAAATGATAGTCTTTAAAACAGAGCCCAAGAAATTCTGTTGCTTTAGCTTAAGTTACATCTATTAACATGTTGCTACATAGGTCGTCACAGAAAGTTGAAACATTGAAAATCAATGGCAACTTTTATGGCAAATTTTGCCATTTTTTGTGGCAACTTTTGGCAACTTTTAGACCCAAAAATGGCAACAAACGCAGATGCTAGAACAATCCGCTGAGCTTTACAGGCTCGATCTTCTAACCGTCGTCTTGTTTGGTACTTATGATCTTATCTTATCGTATTTTATCTTATCTTATCGTATTTTATCTTATCTTATCTTACAGCGGGATTGGGACACCTTTTTGCGCCAACAAACGAGCCGACCAGGCAGAGAATACCTGTTGACGTCACAAACGGTCAGACCAGACAGAAAATACCTGTTGACGTCACAAACGGTCAGACCAGACAGAAAATACCTGTTGACGTCACAAACGGTCAGACCAGACAGAAAATACCTG